AGGCCAAAATAATTCCTTCGTCACGTAATAAATTAAAAGAAAAATCAGTTTTAAAATCTTGAAGATCAAGCATAATTGATAAGAGCTACCAAAAATGTAGTTATTTAGTAAAACTTTAATTTTTACCTTAAACTTTATTTTTAAAACCAGTAGCATGAGATGAATTAAAGGCTTTTTAATGTTCTTTGAAGTAAAATCAATTTTTAGTTGAAAATTTCCAAATATTTTTGTGATAATTATTCACTTCACAAGATTATTATATTTTAATTTTGAATTGTAATGAATTTTCAGTAACAAGTTGGGGAAAAAGTGAATTTAAAAATAAAAATTATTTTTAATATTTTAGGTGGAATTTTATTAAACAAGAGTATTTTCCAAAAATTGGTGATAAGTGGATGAAAATTTGAAAATAAAAATATGGGATAAAGGAAGAAAAATCTCATAATAGGCGTTTATTTTTTAGGTAAAAAGGTTATTATTTCATCAAATATCGATTTATTGTGATTCTTAAACGTTAATTTTTTTCTTTTAAAAAAGTTGTATTCAGTCAGTTATTATTCAAATTTGATTCGTTTCCAACAAAAATAGCCCATTTTTAAAAATTCCCATTCCTAATTTGTCAGAATTATACAATATTTCACTCTCTATATTTGAATTAAAAAAGCATTTTAACCTCGTTTTCGAGGCGGACGGCGGCGTAAAAAAATGCGAGCGCCTTGGACGCGTCGACGACGATCCAGTAAATGCTGTAGCTGTGGTTGAGCGTCCACTCGACTGTGCCTAGGACGACACGCTTGTACGCGGTGGTGACCATGTGGAAGGCGCTGGCCTGGAAGAAGATGTTGACGTAGACCAGGTTGAGGACGACGAAGGCGCCGAACAGCGACGACACCCCCTCGGACAGCCAGAACAGCCTGGCGTGCACCATCCGCAGCCTGGCCATTCTCTCCTCCGAAGGTTGTTTTTCAAGTTCCAGCCCGATCTCGGCGTTGGTGGCCTCGAGCAACACCCGCAGCACCACGCACAGCACGCAGAAGTGCACGCCGGTGCACATGAGCGTCGTCTTGCCGCACAGACGGAGCCCCACGTAGGCCCAGTGGCGAACGCTGGCCACCGACAACTCCCGCTCGAACCCGAACTCGTCCAGCTTCAGCAGCACGTACATCAGGGTGGTCGCCACCTGCAGCAACAACACGATCGCGCGCACCTCCAGCAACAACTGACGACGACGCACGGACCTCTGCACGAATCGGGCGCTTTCGCTCAACTCGTTCAGGAAAACCAGAATTTTTTCCTTGCTCCTGCGTTTGAATAATTAAAATTCACTTAAGAAGGTAAATATGGTGTTTGTGTCAGATATCGTTCAGCTGCATGTTGTGTACGATAACTGGCACAGACACCATAAAACATTTGTGGTAATGAAGCATACATAATTTTGATCTTTTTGGCACGGATTGAATTCATTTTATATGAAAATATCACATAAAATAAACACAGGAGAATCGTCGATTTAACGTAATAATTAGATATTTCTGGAATCAAAAATTGTTTCCACCTTCTCATCGTTCTGTTGCTAATAGTGACGCGAAGTTTAATGGAAAAATTTTTGGAAGAAAACGCAAAACCAATTCAAATTGCTCCAAGAAATCTAAAATTAAAGTTCATTTTCGCTAATTTTTGTCATCTTCATAATATTAAAAGCGTGCCTGATGACGTAGTAGACGTTGAGGACGATGGCCGTGTTGCCGACCAAGTAGGAAACGGTGGTGAGCACGTGGACGCCGGTCATTGGTTTGCGCGTGCGCACGAGCAGAACTTCGTAAAAGTGCCACAGCTCGACGGCGGCGATCGTCAGGGTCAAGGCCTGGCAGTAAAGGGCGCGCACCCTGCCGCAGACGAAGCGGTGGCCGTCGAAGGTCGCGGGCAGGATGCCCAGCGGGCCGGACACCCACGAGAAGGGGCCGCCGACCGCGGCCGCCACCACATCCATCGCCACTGACAACACATTCTCAAAACAAATTATACACTTGTGTGTTTAAAAGTTTTTGATTGGGGGTGAATTAGGAAGACTCGACGCTAATTCGGTGCTCGTTCAAGTTTCCAACGTACGACTGCAGCAAAATTGCCACGTTGACGGCGCACGAGGCTGCAGACTGAAAAGTTTCCAAATTATATACATTAGAGCAGTTAAAAGTAATTGAAATGATTGGCCTTGCCGCAAACAACAAATTCCACGTCACGGGAAATATTTCAAAGGCGCTGAAATTCACGTCAAGGGTTGAGATTTCCAACGAAAAGCGGTTTGTTTGGTTTGGAATCAAATATAGGTTAAAATAATTCAATACATATGTACTTAAGCCTGTCCCTTGGAGCACTTTGTCGATCATGTAATTTGTTATTGAATAAACGCTGACAATTTTTACAGTCTCCTCCAGTCGATAAAAGTTTACGTCAGAGGGCAAATGGGTTTCATTTTACAAATTTAATTTTGGGATTATGTGTCAAGCGATATCGTTATATCGGAGATATAATAATTATTATTGTTGTTTATTCTACTCAAGTCATACATGAAAAAAAAATTAAATTGGAAAAATGAGCGGAAAGGGTATCACAACTAGCAGAGGTCTGCTAAAACGCCCGTCATCAAAAAGAGATCGGCCACCGCGTGAACCCAAAATCAAAAAAATCATATTCATAAATAATAAATAAGCAGATAAATTTTGTTTGTGGATATCCACGAATGAATATATAAAAAATTAATATTATTTATTTTTCTCTGTCGACACATAATTTGAAATTTATAGAAATTTACCCAAATTATCTGATAATTATCTGTTATAGAAGTAATGGTCTATGAAAAAAAATTATAATTATAATTAGAATCGTTTTTATTCTTACTATCACTCAATTAAATTAAAATAGTTCATGCAAAATCATCGTACTTAAAATGCCTTTTTGCAATTGACCAATGAGGTTTTTTTTATAAGGAAGACAATTAGCTTTTGGTCGGTCTGGCCAAACTGGAGGTCTCAACGCTAATTCGGTGTTCGTTCAAGTTTCCGATGTACGACTGCAGCAGAATTGCCACGTTGACGGTGCACGAAGCGACAGACTGAAAAGTTTAATAATGAGGCGATTTAGTGGTTTTAGTAATAAAAGTTTATACCGCAAAAAGCAAATCCCACGTCACGGGGAAAACGTCAGAGGCACTGAAATTCACATCCAGGGTTGAGATTTCCAGCGAAAAGCAGTGGATCTAATTCGGGATTATTTTGAATAAAAAGAGTAAAATTGATTAACTTTAATTCTTACAGACTCTCGAAGCTTGCAAGAGTTGAGACCGTTGACGAAATGGCACAGAATTTTTCGAATTTCCTTGAACTGTTGAAACAGAAATTGTTAAAGATTCAAAAGCCCGGGGTTAATTCAATTATTTTCATCTTAAAATTAAAATACAACGCGAGTTCATTTAGGTTAGCTTAGGCTTTTATTTGAGCCAAGTTTAAAGTAAATTTAAAGAATTAAAAATCTGTAAATTATCAATTTGCTGCTAATCTCTACAATAAATTTACTGCATATTTTTTTTATATCTCCATGTTACTTAGAAGAAGATATATTAAAGTAATGAAATTATTGATCTGTTTATTTGTCGAAATTATCACTCTCAACATATTAAAATAGGAGATATTGATTAGTTAATTTTGACGTGACAAACCTCCTTGACAAAGAGCGTGGCCGTAACAAAGTAGGCCACGATTTTTCCAGCGTCTATGAACATCCACAAGTAGTAGTGCAATTTCTGGTCATCGAATACCACGGCGTAGTTGAGGGTCCTGTAGATGTTTCTGATGGTGTCGTAAATCTCAAGTTGGAAATAGGAGCCGTGATAAGTGAGCGTCAGAAGCAAGAAGACTCCATGGACTCGGTTCAGCTGCAAACAAATTTCGTGAATCTTGGCGTAGCAGAAGCGGAGGGTGACCAGCCGCTGGCTCAAGAGACGGTGCACGTGGTGTTGGCCCTGTTTTCCAGTGACCAATCGTGACTGCCAAAGCCTCATTTCGGCGTTCAGGGCCTGAACCACGCAGCGAAGGACCAGCATCAGGACGCAAAAGGTCGTGCCGGTGGCAGTCACGCCGCCAACGCAAATCAGGCGACTCATCCGCTCTAGCATGACCACTGCGGTGAACAAGAAGGGCCAGGTGGAGTTCAAGGCTGGCACCACTTCATAAACAACCAGGACAAGAAAAGTGAATATCTGAAAATGATTTTGATAAAATATTTGGATTCTCCGAATTGGTTGAGAACCTGAAATGCAACGACAAATATTCTGATGGAGAGCAAAGTCTGCGCGAGTTGAACGTCAGCCAGGATGTCGAGGACAACGACGATCTTGTTGGCAACTTCAGCCAAGACGTGGCTGCTTTTGAACGTGTAAAAGACGCAGAAGATTGAGGTGAAGTACATGATGCCGTTGATGAAGAGGTCAAGAATCTTCTCACCGGTCAGGCTTCCCTTTTGAATCGAGTCGCTGGCGTCCCACAGCATGTACAAATAGTAAGCGGCGCCGACGATGGCGCCGAAAACGCGCACGCCCACGCTGTAGGCGAAGAGAGTGCGGCCGACGACGAAGCGGCCGTCGGCCTGCTGCGAAATGGGCAGGACGCCCAGCGGCCGAGACAACCAAGACAGCGGCGACAGCAACGTCCCTAGACCGGCTTTGGCCATTTTAAACTGCGGCCGATCGAATAAGAACATAATTTGTCTGGGTGTTAAGTAGTTTATTGAGTCGGATTGTGATGAAAATTAAATAAACATTTCAGTACATTCGAGTAATTTAACGATTGATCTATTTTCATATTAAGATCGAATATCTGAAAAATTTATATGTTTAAAGAAGAAGTTGACACTGGAAGAGATGATCGTGGAAATGAAGAGATCGAGTTTTTTAATCATGACTTCTTTTATTTGAGGGTTGAGGGATAAATATTTAATGAATATACTTTTAACTTTTGTCATTTTCAAATTGCCAAGCTACTCGGCTTCGAAGGCGACTTGTTGGTTGTTGTTGACGTAAGACTGGATGAGAATGAGCGTGTTGACGGTGCACGCCGAGGCCGACTGCGGAGAACGTAAGAAATGGAATATCAGATAAAAATGTGTAATTGACGGATATTACAAACCGAAAATAGGATCTCCCAATCAATGGCGAAGAAGCCATTGGCGGAGAAGGCGAGTTTCATTGCCGCCACCGCCCTCGAGAAGCAATCAATCTTGAAAGAAGAGAATTGGCGGTTTATTGGAAAGGACGCGCGCGACCTCGCCGCATGTACAAGAGAAAAGCGCTTACCGACTGCAGAACGGTGCCTTGCGGCAGCTTGGCCAAATACTTGCTAACGATCGCGCCAGTCTTCTTCGTCTGCGGAAAATAAATTGCTACAGCGCAAAATTACAACTACAACAGGGAGATGGTTATCAATTTTTTTTTATCGATGAAATTTTTGAAATTAAAGAAGATCTCAACAACTAAAGATGGCAAAATAATTATTCAGATAAGAATAGCTAGAATGGGCCAAAGGGATAATTTTGAAAACCATAGAAAATAAGGTCAATTTGAAAATTTTCATTGAGAAAAACATTATTCCGGTTTCCGAGAAAATCAAGCTAATTTTTGCTCTCTGATTTAATTGATTTCTGCAAATTAAGGTTCTTAAAATATCAAAGTAATTTCAAAAAATTTAATAATATTTGAATTCTAATATGGCCGGTTGAATAAATGGAATAAATAAGGGTTTACTAAAAATGCTGTCAAATGAAATTTGGTAAATATTTGTAATTTTCTAGGCTGGAGGTTGGAGCTAATGAGCCAAGGTATCTTTTCTTAACGGTCATCAAGTTTCTAGGTCAAAGGTCATTGACCCTGGCGAAAGGCCAATAATTACCCTTGAAAATATGCAACCCGAACGAAAATCTGAGGTAGCCGAAAGATGCGCCATGATGTATGAATTCATTGTTGAAAATTTCAGAAACTTTGGATTAGCCGTTGGTGAAATAAAGATGATTAAAAAATTGTTTTTGAAGGACCAAAATGCAATAATTAAATATATTTTTAATTTAATATCTATGTCATTTATGTCACTATTTGTGAGTTTAAATGCATCTTATTAATAAAATTGTTGGATTTCAAATCAAAAGCGATTTTTATATTTGAAAGAAGGATGAAATTGAAACCTCGGAAAGGACGAGAGAGCAGCAGACAAAGTAGGCGAGAATCTTGGCGACGTTGACGACGGCCCAGGTGAGGGCCTGCGTGTGTCTGAAGAGCCACGTGTTGAGCGGGTTGGCGGTGACGTCGACGAGCAGCCGCAGCAGGGTGAACACCTCGACGTGGATGTAAATGTTGTACTGCGTCAGCGCCAGCAGCACGAAGATGCCGAAGACGTTGTTCATGTCGACGCAGATGTCGAAGATCTTGGCGTAGACGAAGCGCAGGCGGAGCAGCTGGTGCTGCAGCAGGGTGGGCCCGTCCGAGTGGGCCTCGCGGGCCAGCAGCAGGGCCAGCTCGGCGTTGACGGCCCGCACGAGGGCGCGCAGCACCAGGCACAGCGCGCAGAAGTGGCTGCCGATGCACGTGATGCTCGTCAGGCTCAGCACCCGCAGCGCCGACACCACCAGCTCGGACACGCCTGTCCAAAAAGGCAAAATCGAGATTTACAAGCCTAGCTTTTTTTCATTTAATTGAAACTCAAATTTCAGCCCTTTTGAAAAAAAAAACATTAACTTGTGAAGAGAAGCTTAAAATATCATTTTCTCCAGATAAATCTCAATTTTTTTAAATTTTCCAGAATTTCAAATTGTGAATTAAATTGAAACGACTACAACTTTGGTTCGAATTGACTTAGACACATTTTCTTAATATTTTTTGGGAAGACAAAAACTTGGTTGGATGGAAATAGTAAGAAATTGTTCAGACCCCATCTTAGTAAAAAATTTATTAATGTATACTTTTGAATAATGTAAAATAAATTTGTTTATATTTTCGGCCCAGGGTAATTGTTTTACAAGAAAATGTTTGAAACAAAAGTTGTAGGAAATGTAATTTTGCACATTTCATGTATTTACCACTTTCTTCTAAATTTAATAGGAAACGCACAAGAGAAGCAGGAATGTTCGAAAAATGTGGTTTTCTTCAAATTTCTGCTCAATGCTATTTTTAATATTTGCCCCTAAAATTAAAAAGACGCCAATAAGAGTTCTCCAAATTGGCATGATGTATTCTACATTATTTAAAAGCTTCACTTCAGTTGATTTTAAGCATTCTAGGTTGTCAGAATTTAATTTTCGCCCATAAGGTTAGCAAACATTTGAAGAAAACCGCATTTTTTTTAATATTCCTGCTTTTCTAGCGAGTTTCCTTTTGAATTTAAAAGAAAGTGGTAAATTAATATAATGTTCAGAATTCAATTTCCTACAAATTTTGATCGAATCATTTTCTTGTAAAACAATTACCTGGAGCGGAAAATCTATTTTAGTTAAAATTTAAAAAGAATTTTTTCAAATTGATCCGAATCATGTTAAAAAAAAAAAATAGCAAAACGGAATCTGAACGATTTCTTTCTATTTCTATCTTTTATGCTATATTTTTTTCTATCCAAAATCGTTTTAAGAAAACGTGTTTAGGTAAATTAGAGTCAAAGTTTGGCCGTTTAGTCAATTCAAACATTAAAATTAAAATTTAAAAATAAATGGAAATTGAGATATTGGAAGAAGCAATAGAGGAAATGATAAATGATATTTCAGATTAAATTTGGCTGATGATAAAAAATTCGTCTTTTATCTCAAGAGAAGCAGGAAAAGTAAAAATTTCTTGACCTTGCGATGATTTTTCGTAGAGGGCGAAGAACATGTAGTTGAAGAAAACGGCGACCTGGAGCAGCAGGACGAGCGTCCTGACGTGGGCGGCCGTGCTCAGGGTGGGCACGCGTTTCGTGACCTTGGCCAGGGCGTGCAGCTCGTTGAACATGGCGGCCAATCTGCGGGCGCACTTTGTGGAGAAGTAAACGTTGAGCAGGGCGAACGCGTTGACGATCGAGTGCGAGACGAAGGTGAGGATTTGCTGGCCGTCGAGGGGCTCGACGAAGACCTTGCGCAGGACGGCGGCCGTCTTTTGGAATCCGCCCAGGACGAAGCACGCGGCGCCGCAAAACGTGTAGACAAAGGACAAGCGGCTGACCAGGAATCGCTCCCTGTCCAGGCTCAGCGGCAACACGCCCAGCGGCTTCCCGATCCAGAACAGCGGCGCCCACACGCTCGCCAGCACAGCCATCTCGGCTCTGTGAATTATTTCCATCAGCGCAATCGTTGCGGACGGAAAAATCGATTTCAAAAATACATAATTTGCTCAATGGCGGACGCAGAAAAATGGCACGCTGCAAAATTTGGCCGTTTGAAATTTAAAATTTGGGTACTTTCAAGTGACACGGTCACGTCTGTAAGGTTAAAATATTCCTTAAAATATTTTCAAATCTCAAAAAGTGTTTTTCAAACAACTCTATATTTGAGTTTTTAATTATCCTTAGTGAGATCATGACTTTAAAACATCTTTTGTAGACCAAAATTGAGGTCAAAGTAAAAAAAAGTGTGTTTGTTCATCTTTGAAAAGTTTCAGGAATTGCAAAATTATAGTTTCGAAAAGTTGTTTTAAAATCTTTTCAATAAATTAAATAATTCAATTTTTTATACAAAAATTTAAAAAAAAAATGAGAATAGTTTAACCTCGGAGGCGCAAATTTAAACGTGCCATTTTTCTGCGTCCACGCGTGGAACTCATCAAACTAATTCCGAAATTGCAGGTCATGAGCAATTACGACGACGGCCATTGACTTTTGTTTCTCGCCATCAGAGGCCGGAAGGCGAGAGTGGCACACGAGGACAGCAATTAGACGCGAGTGTATCGATTCAGAGCGGCCAACTAAATATCTCTCTACCCACAACAGAGTCCTGCAGGATAAAAATCCAATTTGCCGAGAGATCTCCAGTCTTGCGAAAAATCGCATCTGCGGGACGCGGTCCGGCGGAAAGAGAAAGACGAGGAAACAAAAGTAGAAGAAACAAGTGTGGTGAGAGAAATTAGAAGCTTGCAAGTCTCGTTTTCCGAAGGGAAATTCGAACAATAAAGGTGCTCTGATTTCTGACAAAGGCATTGTTTGAGGTGAGAATTATTATTTGATGGCGGCGCCAAAATTGAGCCACGTCGGTTGAATGGGGCCTTTCATTATTCTTGGCACTCGCGGTCCTCGTCAAAAGGTGCATTCATTGCGTCCAAATCAACAGTCCAAATATCACTTGAGGTCGAATTGGCTCGTTTTATAATTTGTAAGTTGTGCCAAGAACGCTGCTGAGTTCAAAGGAGAGCAATTTGCAGAGTCGATAAAACTAATTTGGCGGCTCAAAAGTGTTTTGTCAACAAAAGACCGCTAATGTAATGGAAAAATACTTTTGCTGAATCAAGTTTTTGCTCAAATTTGCGGGTCGCCGTAATTGATCAGAAATTTCGTTTCATTTGTCAGAATTGAAATCATGCAAAAGTATAAAAGTAAATTTTCAATTGATGTATTTTTCTTCTATTATTAATGGTTCTTTGATATCAAATGCAATACGTGCTACTTAGATTAGGTAAGACTGATCACTTGCTTGGTCTTTTTAAATTGATCGATCAGTCATTTTTTAATTTTCTCATGAAGAGTTTGGTTTCTTTTTGCAGGCTTAGCAATCAATAGAAAAATTCAAGGAGTTTAAAAAGCATTGAGAAGCTCTTGTTTGAAGTTAAATCTGGTGAATTTATTTTTAAATATTATAAACTTTTTGCTGCGGTTAGGAACTAATTTTTGGCAATTATTAGTAAAACAAGAAAATTTCAATTTTTTTTTTCTTATATAAAAAGTCATAAAGACTTGATAAATTGTGCTAAAAAAATACCATTTATACCTTCCTCCTGATAATTGACAAATTTTCTGATGTTTCAATTTAGGATCAATAAGGGTTCCCATATTTGCATACAAAACCCCCTCTTTTTTGCGAGTTCTTTTTCATCGGAAGTGAGAGATGGATCGATTTTGGAAAAAAGGAGCAACAAATAGTCGATGGGTTGGTCCGTCGAATTCCCAGCGGCGAACCGAAATTAACCGCGCGCGTCTGATCCTCTTAGAGATGGGCCCTTTTTGCAGAGACAAAAAGGCCGTCGTTCCTTTCGCTTTTTACATCGTCGGTCCGCGTCGGATTGGGAAGAAAAAACTGTATCGTTTGCATCGATTGCGAGATAAAGAATTAAATTTCACAACGCTGCAGTCGCTTCTTTTTATTTCTCGGGCCTAAATTGTGGTCCTGCGGCGCCCGTTTCCACCCTCGTCAGCAATCGCCACTTGGCCCTCGTTTTTCCTCTCACTTTTATTTATTCAAAAGTGCTGTGAAAATTGCCGCCGTTTCGCCCCCGTTTAAAGCCGGCTGTAATTCTTCATCGTTCCCCGTCCGCCAATCAACGGCTTTTCTTCTCCCAAAATGACCCTAATAAGAAAAAAAACCTGCAACTATAAAACTGCAAGAAAAAGCGGAACATGTATTTGAAATATTCATTTCTTAATTTTGATTTTCAATATTTTATTCATCAATTGACAAAAACCTTCAAAAGGAAAAGTAAAATTTAAATTTAGAGTTACATTTTTCCAAATGTAATATAATTGAATTATATCTTGGTTTTGGAAAAAATTTTCTAAAGTTATTTTGAAATTGAAATAATTATTTAAATATTTTTTTTCTTACCAAATAATAACCAAAATAAATTTAAAATTTTTCCGAGAAAAAGTTTAATTTTTTATATTTATTTCATTTGAATAATATTTCTTATTTGTATTGAATGAGTGCAAATCTGCTTGAAATCGAGGATTGAATAAAATATAAAATTTCCTTGTGATTTTCGTCGAGCAAATTTTACTAATTTTTTTTTCTACGGCAGAAGAAAATAGGTCAGCGACGCATTCTCGTGCATAATTATGAAGCACAAATCCGGCGAGGAGCTTCCGTGCGTCGCTTGCAACGCGTTTCTCGCAATTAATCGCCGTGGCCGGGCGGACGGACGCGGGTCTTCGCCCCATTCCTCGCTCTCTGTTTACTCCCTCGCGAGAGAATTTGCATTCAACCCACGTACGCAATTCATTCCTCACTCCAATGATGAAAACTGAGTCTTCCTATGCAAATTCCAGTTGCGTCTTCATTAATTGATGCAGCTGAGAGGTGCCAGCAAAATGGGTGATAACTCGAATTGTTTAATAAAATGTATTTTATTTTAGCAAAATAAAGTTTTGTTTATTAAAAATTGAATTAAACATATTTAAATAGTGAAATTTTGGGGGAAAACTAGATTTTCATGTTAACAAAATCTCCTTGTTCTAATTTTCATTATGAATGATTTGCTTGTATTCAAAAGAAATCCGAAATGACTTGAAATTGCAAATTTTTTCAATATATTTATGAAATGTAAATTGTTTTAATTGGCAAATAAAACTTTTACTTTTTTGTCAATTTTTCAAGCCCCAAATTTTTGCCTCTTTTCTCTGAAATAATTTAATTCCTTAATTTTTACCTTTTATGAAGTGGAAATTCTTTTGGACGAGGAAAATCTTGTTTGAAGGAACTAAATTGTTAATTTATTTTTTAAGAAGAGAATAATTTAAAGTAATTGACTTGCATTTGTCTTGATTGGAGGGGGAAAGTGCGTTTGGTGTTTTGAAAGACTCGGGCGCGGCGGTTGTTGTTGTGTCTCGGGGAAGTAATTAGAGTTGGGGTCCGGCGGGGACGAGCGGGTCCAGCGGCGGTGCAGCCACGCGTGAGAATCGGCCGCAATTTATTATTGCGAAGAAATACGTGGCCCATAAAAGTGTCGCGCGCGCGCCTCGATTGATTTAAGGCCGACGCGCGTCGCTCGGCTGCTCCTCCGAATTTGCGACACACTGCATTGCTCGAAATTAATGGCGCCGCCGCAATTTATTGCCCTTTGACGCCGCCGCCCTAAAACATACACACACCGACACCAAATAATTCCTCACACATAAACGCACAGATCGATAACAAACCTGCCAATCCTGCCATCAAATTTTCAACTTACATGCATAATTAACTAGAATCGCAGAAATTTCAAGGTCTAAACTTATTTCTAGTTCGTTTAATAAACAGAATATTTAATGTTCTATTTCATTTTCAATGCGTTAAGAAATTACATTATTTTCCCAAAATAGAAATGGGGTTTTAATATTTCTGTGAATTTTTGACTTCATTCTTGGTACTTTCAAAATTCTTTAATTTTGTAATTCAATTAAATATTATAAATGAGAGAAAAAGGAAATAAGAAACGAAATGAAGACGAAAATTCACAGAAATATTAAAATTCCTTTGTCATTTTGGAAAAATAATGAAGTTTCTAAATTTCTTGACGTATTGAAAATTAATTGGAAACAATGAATTCTATCAATTAAATACCAATTTAATTGACGATTCAACTGTTGCTTTATTTGAAGAGAATTATTTGCAATATCTTTGTAAAAGTTTTAGTAAACCACAAAAAAAAAACATCGAGGAAAAGCCGATTTTAAATTCAAATCACCATGAATCAACCCTCGATCGTGAAATTCTACCAAAAAAATAAAACGTTATGCAACCCGGAGATTACAAAGGAGAAGCAAGTTGCCTACCTCTCAAATTGTCAGTCAGAACTTCATAATTTTATTGCTATTTTTTTTTAATATCACGGTTTCTTTGTCAAATTTTTCGCTCAAATTGTTTGAATTCAATCTTCGAAAGCAATTTATTTGAGAAAAAAAAATTGTTAGACAAAACTGTATTTGTTTCTTTGGTTTTTTTGGTGTTTTGCTAAATTATTTATGCAATTTGACCAAATCTTTTGCGGAGAAATTTTAAATCTTGTTATGTCATTATATTTTTCTTATATTTTATTTACTAATTTTACTTTCCATTGGAGGTAGACGTTTTTTTTCTTTAAAACTTGGTGTTGACAATTAGAATTTGAAAATCAGATCTTATGATAAAATAAATTAGATTCATTTTTACACTAAATATCAAATTTCGGTTTTACTTTTGAGATGTTCGGGAGTTGTTTCTAGACGCGACTTTGGTTTTAAAAAAATTACAAAGCATCTTGTTTAGGTGATTTTGTGTGCGAATCGGCCGCGATCGATGGTGGTGGGGGGGGGGGGGGGATTGGCAACCTAATTCCGAGGAGGCCTTCTTTTTTTAGCACTCGCTCGTGCGTTTTGTTGGCGCCGCCGAGAGAGACAACAAAACTCCACTTTCACCGGCCATTGACTTTTATTCCCGAGCGGCCACCTGGGGACTCGTAAGATTTTGCAGCCCTTTCCATTTTCCTGCTCTCGATGCGTAAAAACTTGATGAACAAATTCTCAAAGACTTCAAAACGAGCTTCCAACTGGGCAGGCTAAACGTCCGTCAGCACCAAACTGATCATCAAAGATTCAAGCAACGAAAATATCTTTTTTCTACTTAAAGTTTAGATTTTATTCGAATCGTCACTTTTCCAAGTCAGCAGAATTACTTGTTTTTATACTTCATTGGGCTTCAACATTTTGCACATTTTACAAAATAACGTGATGATTTTAGTTCAAAAGTTTGGAACCTTTAAAAAAGTGTTTTATATTTATTTTGATTAATTTTCAATTTGTTTTGAAGTTAATGGATTAATTTTGAAAAATTACTTTTGTCATTTTCAATATTTCCAACGCCACAATAGACTGAAAAAAGATTTATATTTTTTTTTATAATGAAATAATAAGAAATATTTTCTGCCAAGGAAGAATTGTTTCAAAATTGATTCCACCTGAAGGAATTTCCTCAATTTACTTATTTTCTTTGAAAAAAGGAGCGGATTGCAAGCAAGGAATAATTGATGCACAACGTGAACGTCAGCGGAGAAGAGAAATCAATGAAAACCATCAATCGGTTTCCGTTGGAAAACAGCAAATTGATGCCACTTTGCTTGATGAACTGCAAACGAGAACCGCTAATTACCTGTTTTCCTCGCAGCGAATATTTGCATTTTGACGAGAAAAGATGGAAAACAACAAGACAAGATTGACATGTTTTTCTGCAACAAGGAGACGCGCCAGGAATTCAAAATGAGAGCGCGCGACTTATCGGCTCGGACCCTCTTTTTACAAATTCTCAACCGACCGCTTTTGTTAAAATATTGATCCGTTCGTCACAAATGCTGCACGATTACATACAAAACATCTTCCTTTTCAAAAAAGACTCAACAAAAATGTTTAGGTTTTCTATTAAATTCTTTGATATTAAATTTCATTCAAAATAAGAGGTGGGATTTTGCAAGGGTAGAAAATCTATATAAATGAAGTTAACTTTAAAAGTTTGAGAATTATTTTCTGTGATAAAGCAAATACGAATGTTCTCATTTCTTGCAGGTTCTCATGAATTTCTCTTTCTCTCGTCTCGGTTTTGTTTTGGACAAACAATCACAGGTTGTTGGACGCGATCCAGGCAACGCAGGTCGGCGGAAACAAAGGGGCGGAATTTCCTTGGCATCCCCCCACCCTCCCACCCCCGGTGCATGCATGTCAAGAGGAAGAAGTCAAGAGGACCAATGTTTTGAAACGAATTTGCACATCAGTAGAAAAAACAAAGAAAAGAGATTGATTTAAAATTTCATTGTCGGATTTTGTTCAGAATTTTTCTTAAACAACAATTTAAATCGTTTAAAAAGAAGTGAAATTTTCATTGTAAAGGAAAAAACTAACAGACGCTCCTTTTAATTTTCAATTTTTACTACAAAGTTGTATTAAAACCACTAAAACGAAAAAAAATTAACCAGATCTGTTTTTTTTCAGGATACATTTGATTTCCCGGCCGGCCGAAACTCTCTCTTACTTTAAATGCAAATTCGGCTATCTTGGTCTTGTTGCATTTGCTCTCGAGCGGATTCACAAACGCGCCGTTTTTGTCACAAAAGCCAGGCCTGCCTGCCCTACCTGGCTGGCCCCATCGCCCCCGACAAAGGCCGCGCGGTGCCGAGAGTTGCACTCTTAATACGATTGGACTTTTGGCAAATCTCCCCCCCCTCTCCTCACCCCCCCCTCAGCCCCGAACAATAATTTATCCAGACTCTTTCCATCAACAAAGGCCGCGTCTATCTGCGCTCTTGCCTGCCTCCCATTCAACCCGAGTTTTTCAATAATACAAAAAATATAAACATGAATGGCTTTTTGTTGAAAAGACACAAAATTTTCAATTTATCAGAAGAATTTAGTTTCTTTAAAATTAACAAATTTCTAATATTTTTCAATTAATTTATAAATTTCGCTTCAAATTTTGCACTGTTATTTCTGAAAATCGCTAATTTTACGTTTGGACCGATTTTACTCCTCACACGAATAAAAATAAAAGTTTTCATTTTTAATTCTATAAGAGAATTGAAATTCACAATACTTGGATAAAAAAATTGACACCGCCTTCTGAGCTGCTCGGAATTTGAACCTCGGCGCAGGATTTATCTATAAAAATAATATTCATATTTTGGCTTGAAAAGACGGGTTTCTATTTTATCAACGATTTTCCCCATTCATATACGAAACAAAATATTTGTCCATTTTCCGAATGCCACAAAAAATACAACAACTACCATGCGCACGAATTTGAAGTAAAAACACTCGGAATTTATTCTTTCGTCGGTTCTATTTTTTCAGAATGATTTTTATGTGACCCTGCAGCAGTGGCGAATTCAAATAAAACATATATTTTGACAGCGAGCGAAAGTTTGCAAGGCCGCGGGGCTGAAACTTGGTAAATTGCGTTGAAATTCGTTGCTGAGTAAAAAAGCTTCTTCTATTTTCATTGGACAGACACACAGAGAGGATCGAGTAAAATTAAGTACAAATTAATCTTGAAAAAACAATCGCTACTTCAACAGAGACGAACAGACTTTTCAGCACCATAACTAAAAACTGCAGAACTCGTCTTGTCTCGGGAGGGAAATTCAAAGTTCTTGACTCACCTGCGAAGTCGCTGATGTGGCCGAACGCGAATTTGTCCGTCAGCGGCCGAAAATTCGGCTTATTTTCGACTCGCACTTGGTCTCTGATAAACAAACACACAACGTTGTAAACATAATCGCAGCCAATACTATGTATTCATAATTAGAGATTAGAGGGGAGGGTAGGGGAGGGGGCGTGTTTGATTGTTTATTCTTGGTGGATGTGGAAAATTATAAAATAACCCGGCAAGGTTGGAAGGAAAAGTGAACATTGTGAACAACATTGTCAACATTAATTATTAATTTCCTCTTCGATCGGAAGTTTCAGCCTTTCTAAAATTTAATTTTAAACAAAGTTTGATGTTTTTGGATTTTGGATCAACAATTAATTAAATGAATTGAATAGAAACAAGCAATTGTGAGCTGCTGCTGTTCAGGGATTATTTTATTTACGTGCAAAATTTATTCAATTTAATTAGTTTATCAATGCAAGTGTAAAAAAGAAACGCTAGAGCTAGATTGATACAGAGACTGGATTCTTATTTTTAATTATTGCATTATTAGCTTCTGAGCCGTGTAAGAAGATTTGTCCAGAGTTAAATTAAATAAATAAATAAAGTTTCAGACCAAATCGTGAAGCACTGAGCATGCGCCGCACGCTCGTGACGTCACGAACACGATGACTTTCGAAGCCGCGCGGCTATGTTTGTTTTTGTTGAGCCGCGATCGACACGTGTTTGACGCTTTGCGGCCAGACCAGGTGGCCGCCGGCCGCCGGCAAACGACTTTTTGGGTGGCCAAGGAGTCCGAGCGTGCCGTCGGCGGCCGCAACAACGCCGCCGTTCCAAATTGCGGCCTGGTGTTGCCTCTTGAGGCGGTGCTTGTGCAAATTTGCATTGCACAACCAACACAAAGGTGAGTGCATTTGCATAAATAAATTTTGTTGGCAGAAACTGTCGCGAATCTCGGGCCCCAGCGTTTAAAATTTGGAAAATTGACTTAATGAATGTTCTTTCTAGGTCGAGGTGCCGCCTAATGGCTCATCTGAAGGCGCTCGTCGCCTCATTGAGAACTGCTGCTCTCGGAGTGAGTTCGAAGAAGGTTTGTGGGGCAAATCCTACACTTGGAAAACCCTTGAAGGCCTGGAGTGGAACAACTCTTGGTTTTTATTATTACAAATAGATGTTCGTGTAACATTCAAATCGAACTTTATTTAATTTTCACAGTTGAACGCACGAGGATGAGAAATAAAACTTTCGGAGACTTGAAAGTGGCCTTTCTGGTCATCGTTGACTGTCGCTCCATGAAATCATCTGACATTCTTTAAACGTGCGTTGTGTTTCGTCGGAACGAAGATTAAAATTCAAATTTGGCCCCGAATCAGCCGAATTGCCGACCAATATGGCAGCAAAGGACTTTGGCCAAGAGACTGCAGGTGGGTCTAAAAGTGAAAACTCGATCTCTCATTTTCACTTCTGCAAGTGAAGTCTGCAATTAATTATTGATGAGTGCAAGGCCGATTCAATTTAATATGGATTGGGGAGGAAAACATGCTTTTTTTAACGAATTCAAATTAATCTCGTTATATGAAACTCATGAAAAAGAAACGTGAGCTCTGCAGCAACACGTGCACGTTTCGCTTCTCTCTGGCTCGAGTTTGGCGGCGACAAAAGCAGATTTTGCACGTCGCGGTGCAGCTGACCTGTTTTTTCGTTGCACCCTTTGTAGCTGAAACGAGTGCTGCGACAACTCTTTACTGTCTTCAGGCAGAAATATCGTATTTTAATTGCGCAATTCTGCTTAAATATTCAATCTGACGTAAAAATTGATAATCATTTGAGGTTAATTCTAATTTATTTAATCAATTAAATCCATTTTGTTTTCTAATCCTGCGAAAACATTAATTTTTTCAAATGGGATTGAATTAAAAATGAAAAATAATTGAATTCCGCTTTGGGGTTTAGTGAAAAAATTTATCAAAAAATAATATTAAAAAAACACGGCAACCTGTGAGGGTTTTCTGCGATGAAAATGTGGGAGGGGAGACAAACTCTTGGGATCTTCAACTTTTGATACAATTTCTTATCAATATATTGATGAAATTAAAATACAATTAGGTTTTTATTTTTGTTTTCAAACGAGAAATATGAAGATACTTTTGAATAAGTGATTGTATCTTTGGAAATATGTATGTTTTGCAGAATTGAGTTGCATGAATTGTGGCAAAGCCGCAATTGGAAAAAGCAGCCGGAAAACAATTTGCTCGGCGCGATCAAAGGTTTTCTCTTTGAGGCGCGGCTTGTTTGCGACAACGACGAACAAAACGATCGGAAAAGCAACAAAACGTGCTTTCACGCAACAAAAGCATCTGCCGACAAGCAAAAACAAAACTCAATCGAATTTGAAAGACCCACTTTTGAAATCAATTTTGAAAATTTTGAAATAACTAATTTTGTTTTTTTTGTCATTTATTATGATATAAAAAAAGGTAATACATTTATTTAAAGATAGGAAATTGCTGGGCTTGAAAGTTTTCATAAATTTTTGTTAAAAACTTTGAAATTTTCCATCTCTTCAAAATTTTCCACTCGTAGAAATAAGAAAAGGTCAAGTGACAATTCGTGGGTTTTACTGCGGTGAGGAATATGCAAATTGGGCGCCATATTTCTCGAACGCATGGAAATACAAATGTGCCGCGAATAATAATCATAAGCTTTTTACGATTGTGCAGCGAACATTTTTATGGCGCGCCGTAAAATATGGAGAGAGAGAATTACAAAATCGTGAGAGAGTAATTATGGTTGTGACGAGGATAATTGCGGGCCACGCTCGTAAAATGCAGGCAAACTTTGATTTCTCCCGAGAAATTGAAATCGTAAATCGGACGAAACACAATAAAATTTTGTTGCACTGCTAAGGTGAATTTTTATCGCCAATATGCGCAGCGGCCGCTCGTAAACTCGTCAGCACCGATCCCGCAAAACTTCTGCCCAATCTCCGAGTTTCGCTTCACTTTCAAAATATCTCTGACGCCAAACGTGGAACATTTTTATCCCTAGCTTTTTGGAAATAATTAAAATCAACGGCATTTTTCCATTTCGAAATTTTTCAATTACGTTTTGTTAATAGTAATTTTAAAAATATCGATTGAAACCCTAAAAATGTCCAGTTTAAAAATTTGAAATTTAGGCTTTTCTCATTATATTTGAGTTTAATTGAGTATAGGATTAACTAAAACTGAACTGAAATAGTATCCTTGCATTTGACAATTATAATTCACTGATTTCTGACTGCGCAGGTAGTTGTCATTGCAACTCCATATTTTCTCCAAACCATTGCAGCAAACTGTACTTGGAATTATACAAGTCTCTGGCAAATCCAAACATCTGAAAGAAAATAATATTCTTTTGTCTATTCCGCGGATTGAATAACACCGAGGCGTCTCAACTCGCACAGACAGAGAGACGAGTTTCCGTTTCCACTTTTGTATTTTTGTTTTTGGCATCAGAGAGTGTGGTCTGATCTGGAATATCTGCATAATGCATGCGAGAGAGAGAGCACCAGGTCTGTGGGGTTGGATGCCACAGAGGGCGAACAAATATAGCACACGTGTGTGAGTGAGTGGGGGGTGGGGTGGGGGGTATTGTTTGAATTCCCACAAGGCCGGTGTTGCATTACACGAAAGCCCGTGACTTATTTGAGGCGGAACTTGGAGCGGCCGCGTGGATCTATTTATTAATCAAGTCTGCGCAAATCAATACTCAAGTTGCGAGATGCATATTTCATGTAAACCTCCTCAAAGCTCAAAACTTCTCACTTAACTAGTTTTGCTCTAAAATGGCAAAAGGGATTCAATTAATCTCCCTTTTTTAAATTAACTCGGTGGTTTTTGGTTAAAGACCGGAATTAATAACAAAATTATAAATTTCAGGAACATTCTAATTAAAATTCCAAATCATCTATCAATGCGGTGAAAACCAAAATTAATAAAATTGATGATGTTATTATAAAAATTTAATTGTATTCATGTTTGAACTTTACAATTATAATTTTTTACCGATTTTTACTCTTTTAGTGTTGTCAGAAAATCTGGGATCCATAAAAATTTGCATAATTTTATGGCTCGGGGTAAATCAGTTAATTAATTTAACAAATTTGCCGTTGGCACAAACTGTGCATAATTTTGTCAATATGGTTTCGCAACGCGTGTAGAAAGTCAGGTTTTGAACAGAATTGCCGGTTTAAATTAATGAAGAGAACAGCGAGTGAAACACGCACGTATGCATTGAATGGCGCTCGCTGTGGACTAAAAGTATGACTGGCAAAAAAAGCACGTTTCGCACAGTTTCCATCCGCGTGTATAGAATAAAAGCGCGTGGCACACAATGGACGGGGAAGGGAGGGGAGGGCGTTTCAATTAGCGCGCTGCGAAAAATAAGCGCTCGGACATAAATCGGGCGTTCGAGTGGCGAGATGCAAATTTGTAGCGCGCGACACAAAACAAGCCATCTATCACTTAGCCACGGCCGACCGTGAAAATGGCTTTGTCCTTTGCCCCCTGCACCCCTCGCCAACATGGCGCCCGCATCCGCCCTGCGCCGCGCTCACACCAATGGTGACACCATCAATTCAATTCGCGCTTGCCGAACAAATATGTTTCAACACAGCATAAGACAACTTTCGTGGATCAAGGCAGAAACAACGGTTTTGGTCACCAATCGATTCGGCGTGACCTGACCTTTCCAGTGATGTGTCACATTTGATAATGTTAAAGCCATTATTTAAAATGGTGGTGGGGGAACAGGTCGAACCAATCAGATCGCTCGATTCTTACAAATCTCACAGTGACCTTGACCTATTTGCCATGACTAGATTCGGCGTGACCTGACACCTTTCCATCGACGTGTCACACACTTCACATGCTAAAGCCAATTTGAATTAAGTACTGGGGGAAATATTTGGACTTAATTCTTGTTGTTTATTTCAATTAAAAACCGCGTTGACCTTGACTTTTCTGGTATTCGATCGATTCCTCATGATCTGACCTTTCTTAAGATGTTTCACACTTAATAAGAAAAAGTCAATTTGAATATTGTGGTGGGGGAAACAATCGGACGAATCAGATCAATCGATTCAAACAATTGCTGTTTTTAAATATCGCGGTTTCCTTGACCTTTTCGGACACCATTCCTCGTAATCTGAGCTGTCCGCAGTTGCAAAGGTACCATCTGTGATAATTTTAATTTAAGCAAAACTAGAGAAGAAAATCGATTAGTAAGATGATAATTTTTCTCAGTCACAAACTTGAAATTTCGCCTTAATAATTTTCATGTGGTTTGAAAACTATGAAGGGGTATGGACATTAGAAGCTTGATTGGTCGAGACGGCATTTTTTGGTTTCAGCACCCCAGCCCGCCCAGGGTGTTGAAACCGAAAAATGGCGTCTCGACCAATATCCAGCTTCTGATGACGAGTCAAAAAAGCGTAGGTCGGAGCGTAAACACATTGATGCGTTTGCCTCAAAATTCAAAATGCTTTGGGCCGCGGAAGAATACCAATTGGCGGGTTTGTTTTCCAAAGACACACAAATAGACACGTGTTTGTTTCAATTATTGGAATATCAACACAGGAGGCAATGTTGTTCCAGACCCAATTAATTACCCAATATAATAATAATGCTAGAGAGACTAGGTGCGGGCGAGTTGTTGTGGCAAATAATTGAGAGAGAGAGCAGCGGCGGCGGCGGCAATTGGATTATCCGCTGTGCAGGGCGGACGCGCCAATTGCGGCCACTTTGCTCTTGCATTTATTAGGCCAATTAAAATTTCAGCAACTTGCAAGCATGAATATTAATTTCTCGCTCACTTCAGTTCATATTCGTCTCTATGAAAGAAGAAATATCGCACAAAGATAAGAAAAAAAAAACAATTTTTTCCTTCAAAAACTGAAAGGTATAAATTGAAAGTGTTACATGAAAAACTTAAATTTATTATCTTATTATTATTTATTGGAAAGTCTTATTCTCTGGATTACATGATTAATTTCTTGAGACAATAAGACAAAAAAAAAAAATATTTGAATTCGCCGAAAACGATTGATAAGAAATTATCAAGTCTGTCTTTTACAATTTTTACAAATTTTGGCCAAATAAAATCTATTTTTATGATAAAAATTTTGAATTAAATTTTGGCCGGGGAGAAATAAAGTTTGTCTTTTGTGGGAAACGCAGGCATAGATGAGAGTGCTAATTGAAAATTCCTGCTCTCGGCGCCGCATTGATTTGCATTTTCTGGCTTTTGAAATGCACGCAGGCTGTAAACTTCGCTTGGCCGCACATTTCAAATATTCAATTTAATGCAAAGATTGTCACCATGGATACGCCAAGCGTTATGAAATTCTTGCTGCGCGAAATCTCACTCGACAATCAGGCTAGTT